TAATAATAATAATAATAATAATAAATGTTTGAGTCATTAATGGCTTCACAGACTTTAGCAGAAACTAGCTAGCACCATGTAAAAAAAACAAAAAACATAAAAAACAAGATACATATAGAATAAAGGAAATATCTGTCTATATGTTTTTTGGTTAATCTTTCCTCATGGAACTACATGTCACACATAATACATCAAAAGACTGCCAGAAAGTTGAAAATCCTCTTTCATCTTTACATCTTTTAGCTTGAAAACATTTTAGCAATCTTTTTTTTTTAAAAAAAAAAAAAGAAAGAAAGAAAACATGCCTTTAAAACCTAGAAGCGGGTTTTGGGGTTAGGAGGGTTATTGCAATCCTCCTTCTATTATACATTTGGAGTTTCAGAGCCTGAGTTGACAAACCCCTGATTATAATGCTTCTTTGCAGAGAAGTTTTTCAACCTTTTTTCACAGGATGAGAAGTGCAAAATTGGTGCCAGAAACCTTTTAAACTCCTCAACCTCATCTGTCGTCTTCCTTATTGGAAAGTATTTGCTTAACTGACACAGGACCATATTTCAGCAGAACTTGCCCAAATCAAATCCTGTCTGCATTGTTCAGAATCCACAATCAGTCACACACAAAGGCAAACCAACATTTGTTGAAAGTAATTTATTCTGTATATTTGCAGTGCAGTTATTTTGACATCATTATAACACTAATTTAAACATTTTCAAAAACCTTGCCAATCCCCCCACACCATAGGCTCTACTAGCACTCTAAAGGCCTGTTAATCTCTTTGAATCATCAGATACTAATTCCTGGGTAGACAGTTTTGTAATTTAACCTCAATTGTTTGCATACAAATTTGCTTTCAATGGTTTCTTGTTTTTGTATTTGTGCACAAAGCAGTTTGTAGTATCACTCACATAAAATCTCCACAGGATATGCTTATTGTGTCACCTTTATCAGGTTCTGCTTTATTTAGTAGCTTTAGTGATCAACGTAATCAAAAAGACAAACAAGGTGAATACACAGACAGTTATAATACCGATCATGATTTCCCTGTAAAGAATTAGTATGCATCCTGTTACCACTTGCTTCTCTGTTTACACCAAACAGTATATATTTCTATCTGTTTTCATCTTTTGCCAGAAGGATGTTGATTTGACCACAACACTTTCCCATGCTGGTAAAGAAGGGGCTGATAAGAATGTTCAGTGTGTTGGCCCACACAGTCTGGACCCAGTGCATATTGATGAGAAGGAGCTGCACACATGGCATGATCAGCCTGGAGAGACCAAAACAGAGAACGAAACACAGGGTCTTTAAATGAATAAGAAGTAAAAAATGATTCTATAATCTTAAAAAAGAGCCCAAATAAGAAGAAAACTTACTAGAAAAAATGTGTTTACCACCTCTAAGAAATGATTCTCATTTATTAGAATGTTGTTTTCGCAGCAAATATATTTTTTTGTCTGTAACTCTACCTCATCTGAGGGTAACAGTCTTACCAGATGTGGAGGCAACTGAGCACAGCAAAGAGGAGCCCTGCTGCCAGTGAGACCGGCACCGCCAGCAGGAGGGAGATGAAGCGGTAGCACCACAGTCTGGACACCTCGAACAGGGCATGACTCCACAGCCACACTTTATCAAGGCTGCGCACCGAGGGAGGTTCTGCAATCACATCTTCAAACATGACCTCCAGACACACGCACACACATACACACAAACACACCGGCACTGTAAATGATCTGTACGTGCACGGATGCTATATATTACAAACCGTTGAATGAGAATGATGGCTGACGTGCTTCAATCCACCACAAAATTTGATGCATTATAGGATGTTATAGAACTAAAAATAGCACTATGTGGATGATTATGTCCACTTGAGGTCAGTATTGTGCAATACATTGATATTTAATTAACTGTCTTGTATTGAGGGAGATGAAAACTGACCACCAAGAAAGTAAAAAAAAAATCAATGTATGCAAACTAGTTCACCGATAAAAATTGCTCATTAGCACAAGTCGCCTTCAAAAAAATCACTCGAATGCTAAAACCATCAGCTTTGCATGACAGTGGTTCAGTAGAAATGTAGTGTGTGGCATGCATAGCATGTGCAGCAGGTCTGTCTACTGACTTGTTGCTGCTACTATTACTGTTCTGCTACTGCTGTGCGCTCTCTGCTCAGGTTTCTGTCTGTTTAATCCTTGTGACAGTGCACATTCGTTACCTTGAGACTGTTGTTGATTCTTTTGGGATCCCTGTCGTGAATCAGAGGCCTTGTGTCACCGTGGCTGCAGTCCATGTCTTCAGCGCATACATCCACCTTCACCTCCATCAATTCCCCGGCTGCTGTCTCATCCCTTAATCTCTGCTCCTCCATTTCCACTAAGCTGAGCTGTTGCCCTGCTTGGTATCATTGGAAACATGGAGGATGAGGAGCAGGTTGCAGCGGGAGCTGGAGGATGGCAGGCTTGCTGCTGACACCCAGGTGGAACATTGTTCACTGCTGACTGCCTTGACCCATGTTGAGGAATGCCTTTATTGGCTTTTACAGGCCCATCTTCAGTGACATTTTCCATGTGACACAGGGAGTCTCATTCATGCCTGTGTGAGAAATATCCATCACTAACGCAACCAAATCAGCCTCGATTTCCTTTTCAAACAGGAGCGGTTGGTTGGTCAGTGGGAGTGCTTTGGTGCTGTCATCACTCTACAGTCCTTTCATCATAAGGACAGTGATAATGTTTTGCAGCATTGGTTCATTAAACACAAACTGCTCCCCACCCTCAGCAGCTCCCCGCTAATAGCTGCCCTGCTAATTGTCCATCTGAGCTGAAACTTGGCTTCTTTGCTCAAAGTCTGCATACTGACAGCAGAAGGCAACGGCCTTCATTGTTGATACTGCACACGATGCCTGTGTGTAGTCTATGAGCAATTTACATCTCTTTATTGTGTAGAGCAAAACCTCAAATCTCTGTACACGCTTTAAATTTGCCTCAGGAACTAAAATGCTGCACAGAGCATCAGATGTGATGTATTTGTTTCAAGCAAACAACTTAATGCAAAGTAAGTACCTGTCAGTATATTTTTGTAGGTTAACACGGTGTACTTTGCTTTTTCTCAAGCTTTATAAAATGTGCGTGCTTTTGTCACTTATGTATGTTGTGTATGTCTGATTTGTTTCACATGTTTTGTGGAGCCGGAGCGTTTCCTTCTTTCAGCTGCCATCAGCAAATCCACCCTGTTGACACACAGCCACAGCAGGCATCCTCACCCATCATTTACATTTACTTTAAATATTTTCTTTCCAAGTCAGCCACTGAACTGTCACACTTTGTAGCTTGAATCGATAAATGCATTCATGTATTCAAACTACTGATATATATAATACACCTCTGCTTTATAGATTATGCTCACTAACATGCCGTTTTCTACTCCAGTCACCAGGACAAATCTGTTCATTTCATATTCTACAGACAAACAGCAGTCTGACCTCAGCGTCTTATGAATCTTCATCTTCTTATGAAGTTATTTCAAAAAGAACATGACCAGACACTTAGCAGACAACACACATCTCACTATTTGCTGAAAATTCCTAGAAGCCCTCTTGTCAGAGACGTCCAAACAAAGACACTGTAGAGGAATTCATGGGTGTATAGCGCACTCTGTTGGTCACTGCTTGTCTGTGTAGTGTTTTTTTCTATGTAATCATGGACTAAATATCCTCATTACTTGGACCAGGGGTTGAATCAGCTGCATTTTCCAACTAGGGGCACAAGTACTTCAATTTTCTCATATACATGCATGAGTTGTAGTGCAGTAGTGCTGCAGTGGTGGTGGCAGAGTCTGAATAGCTGATGATTAACTGTATGTGATACCCCGGTGATGAAGAGCCCCTGTAAGATTGTGTTGTGATCGTGCTACGAATGAGTACATTTTAGCTTCTTTAAAGATGGTAATTTAATCACATCTGGCACATCTCCTCGTTTGTAAAATTTTAATGTATAAATATAATATTATCATGAGTTCATAAAAAAGGAAAATCACAGTAAAGCAACAAATGCAGCCAGCTTAAAAGTCCAACAATGGCAACAAAAATGCCAAACCAGAAACAAAACCATTAAAGGTGTCTTCATTCAGATTAAGCTTTGTTAGTGCATGTAATCAAGCAAAGGTTACTGAACCATAAATGTACGCACTGGTGTCTCTTACTGGTATGCATGAAAACAGTTATTTGTGCCTGCACTGTTGGTTTAGTTTGGTAATAAAACTAATTAATAAAATAAATAGAACTGAAAGTATCGATGGTGCAACTTTATTTGTCCCAGCAGAATGTGCAATGGTAGTTCCTGTATTTGTTACTTAGCAGCATTATTAAACCATTATCAAAGCATTAATGGAGTGCAGAATAAAACAGCAGAGTTCAGGCTGTGATTTGTGTTTGGATGATATGTTACAGTAAGTATTCCAAAAATCCATCACAAATGTCTTGGATTTTGTCCTGAGTCAACATAATCAATACGTTTCTCAATAAAGTTGTCCACTGGTGTTACCTGAAAATTCAAAGCAATCTCTTTTGCTCTTTCCTGTGCATTGTTCGATAAACCACTTGTCATATTCCTGATAGTCCTGTGAACGGGTACAACAAACTGGATCCACCTCAGGATTCTGTGACTTGACTTTTATTTTCTTGGCAGCAGTAAGAGACATCAAAACGTTGATAAGTCAGCGTTTTCTTTCATCGGCTTATCCCAGATCAGGCCTTTTGACATCTTTGTGTCAGAGTGAATGTTCTTATTTACAGCTTTTCAGCCTGCACATTCAGTTGCATATAAGTCAGCCAGCTGAGATTGGGATTCTAACAACAACCCTATAGAAGAAATATTAAACCCAGTGAGGGATCTCTGCTCCTGCTGTCTTCCTCCAGCTGTGCTGTGTTGTCAGATCCTAAACATCTGGCATTACATTTTCAGGATTAAGAACAGTGTTGGAGATGCACACATTAGGAAGCAAAAAAGCAGGGACATTCTTGTGAGAACAAATACCAAAAAAATGACACAATGCTAAAATCCATTTTCTTCCACCTGCTGCTTTGTCTGATTTGAGATGAGAAATCATCTATTCTTCCAGATGTTTCTGGAGAAGACAAAGCTTAGCTGTTTCCATTAAAATAACCTCTGAATTAAGCCCATTAGACAGGTCATTAGGGATGGCATGATGACAATATAGTTTGTGTATAAATTAGCATCCATTAATATGTTTGAAAAATAGCAGCTGCATTATCCAGATCTAGCAGATGTTGTATTTTGTGTGGAAACACTGAACTCCAATCCTGCAAAATGGGTTGTGTGTGAATAGCTGACATAACCTGATTTCTGGATAAATAATGTAAGTCGATTTGTTGGTGTTCAGGAAAGTCTCATTATTACATAGGCAACACATTCATACCTGTGTAAGTCATATTCCTGTGTGTGTTTATTCAGCGTCAATATTCACAGTGGGGAAGTAAATGCAATATTCACTCAAGTATTAAACCAGAGTTATGTAACAAGCGTGTATACTTTAGTGACAGCCACGGAGCAAAATGATGTTTGCTGTTATTTGCTGTAGCCACACTATTCTGTCTTTTTCTGCTATCTCCCAAAGACTAATACAAACACCAGAGGCCATAAAATAGCACTTTGTTACCACTCTCAGAGCATTATCAATGCCTAGTAATGATTTCCATTGTAAATTCACTATCTCCGCCTCACCATGCCTATGTCACAATTATAGTAGTCCATATTCGCCGAGACTTGTACCACCTACCTTCAGCCTCTGTTCACATGTTAATGAGTCTCTATCTGAACTTAAAGGCCTTGTGTAATCAGTCTGCATGTGAATTAGCACACTCCAATCAGGACCTAACGCTAAAGCATACATCTAGCCAAAAGGTCACTGTTGCTATGTGAGTCACCGACTCACTCAATTTCCATGACGACAGGGGCAGATGACATTCACCATCTATCAGCATATCTGCTACACACAGGAACTCGGAGGTATTAACCCTCAGATTCACAGGAGCTCCTCACACCAAGGGCATTAGTGCTCTGAAGGGATCATTTGTCGATTTGTGGGAGACACACCGTGCTGCTGTTTATCAAGTTAAGAACCACTGCTTGGTGACATTTGCATACAGCACCACAAATTTCAACACAGTCGACCACCAAAGTAACATTTGAATATACCGTATATTGTTACTGGCATGTAAAATGACACAGAGGAGCCAAGTCTTATTCATTTTTGAATTTATCTGCCCCAAATTAAATGCGTAGAACATTTTACAACATCCATCAAAATATGACCTTATTATTGCAGTTACACACTCCAGACTTACACATTTACAAACATATAAAAATTCTACAAATGTGGTTAAAATCAAGCCAATTGCAACAAGAATAGAAAATATACGCAGGGTAAAAGCTGTCACTTTTTCAATGTTTCATGTTACAGTACAATCATAGCACCTTGACCTATAATAAGAAAGCCTATCAGAATTAAACAGTAAAAGGCACTGGACATTTAATATATATATAAAGGAAATGTACACATTTTTTCAGTCTGTCTTCTCACAATACTAAAATGTATATATTGATATTGTTCATACTGCAACTGGGTTTTGTCTACATTGTGGGTAGTATTGACAAGAGGCCTACTTGTAGCAACAACTGATTTTTTCAGTGAATATAGTACATATGGGTGCAGTTGTTTTTCAAGATATGTAAAATGTGGACCTTTTATCTAGCGAAAAACATCTGACTTGGCCTGCATATTAGCACTGTAGTCCACCACTTAATTGGGTCAGCGTCTAAGCATGTTCCTCAGGTATTTGTCCAGGAATCTTAACTCCTCTGTCCGCATTGTTTCTGGGACTGGCGTTGGCACAGTTGGAGCGAGTCTCAGCTGTGCTAGTGGTTCTCTGGATGAACTGGAGGAAGTTTTCCTGAAGGGAGCCCTCTTGGCTGGATGCCCCAAACTCCACAGGCTGGGTTAGGCAGCAACGCCGAAACTTCACCAGCTCCTCTCTGATCTGTCTGTTTAACAGACCGTAGAAGAACGGATTAACCGCAAAGGAGGAGTAGGCCAGCCAGGTGACGGCCTCCTCTAAGTCCCCAGGGCTCTGCATGGAGCCGGTCAAGGACATCTGCAGGTGGAAGATGAAGTAGGGCAGCCAACACACCAAAAACTGGCCCACGATGAAAACCAATGTAAGTGCAGCTTTGCCTCCACTGAAGGCCCTTTCTGGTGATAGTCTCTGGGGCAGAGTGCGTGTGGTGGCAATCATGGTAGTCTGACTGTTGATGGAGTCTGAGCGATCCTTGGCAGGGCTAGCGTTGGCCCAGGTCGGCACCGCAGGGACTTGCTGCAGGGCTGCAGAGCGAGCCACCTTGTACACAGCACAGTAAACGGCAAAGATAACCAACGCAGGAGCCAGGAAACAAACCACACTGAAGAGCACAGCAAATACTCTTCTCAGGCGACTGTGACTTGCATGAAGAGAGCAATGAGCTGCTGCAATAGAGCTCTGATGTCCGTAAGCCGGCCACCCAAACAGCGTGACCAGAGCTAAGAGGAGCGACTTTACCCAGATTAAGAGCATGACACCGATAGCAAGGTTAATGGTCATCTTGACCTCATAACGCATCGGGTGGACAATGTAGAAGTAACGCTCTACACTGATGGCTGTGATGGTGAGAATGGACAGACAGATGAGGAAAACATTAAGGAAGATGTAAACCTGACACTCCAAAACAGTAAACACTACAGTGCCAAAGAACGGTGAGCTGGATATGATACCCAAAGGCATGAGGAGGATGGCACACAGCAGGTCCACTGCACAGAGGTGACACACAAACGCAAACCTCTTGAGGTGAGGAGCTCGAGCGATGGCCACCATCACACCGGCGTTGGCCAGCAAAGCAATAAGGTTAAGGGTCACCATGCAGAACAAGCCAAAAAGGTCTTTGATCTGCGACTGGGAGCTCGTGACAACGCCCACATCAGCAGGAACCGTAGGATTGGACTCCCACAGGGCGGTGGTAAGATTTGGAGCTGAATGATTTGGCACAGCGGCTACCATGGAACCGGACTTGTCAGCCATTATTCATTCACAACTTCCGCTATTTGTATCTCAGGTGTCTTCATATGTGGATGCCCTGTGTTGAGAGGACAGAAATTATAAATCATCTAATAATTAATTTTCGAAGGCAGTTCAGACATTTTAGGTGCATTGACGTAGCCTCAAAAAAGCAACTTTTTTAAAATTTTATTTCTGTATATATGTTGTCACCTCTGCCCATATAAGGACATAAAAATATTTTAATACAGTTGAATATTGAGAGGTCTGCTTACTTAACATTATCTTGATCAAATATTGCATTTAAATTTCCACTAACTACTGATTACTAATTGGAAACATGTGAACCGTTAGTGCATGTTTTAGGTGTAAACAGATGCATTTATGGGTAAATTGGGAATTGTTTATAGCAAAAAACGGCAAGGTGTAGTCTTGCTTGTGTAAAACCAGTATTAGCCCCCATTGAGGACCATTCTACACTGTTGTCAGAGGTAAGAGTTGTGAGGACAATAAGCAATTTTCTCCTTCAGCAGTCTATTCCCTCCACTTCTAGTAATATTGGTGACTGGTTTTCTGGGATTCATACAAACTGACAGACAGATGCTCTCATATGCGGCTAAAGTTTTCAGTCTTTGCTAGTCATATAGACAAAATGCAATGTGAAATTCTAAAGTCATTAATATCACAGAAGTTTAAGTCTTTCCCTTCTACTGGCGAGTTTTTTTTCAAAAATCACCTGCTGTATGAAAACACTAACCATTTTACTTTAGAAAACAAATGCACAAATTTCTGCTCCGAAAATGTCTACACAGAAAAGGTTGAAAATGTGTTTCTAAAAAAATCATGTCAATACCCAACGCCGGAGGATGCATTGCTGCACTTTGAAAAATATGTGTACCTTCATATCTAATTGTGTGTCAAAGCATATTGATTTACTGCGAATTTACAGTAAAATTCCATCTAGACTTGCATGACATTTTGCAGATTATACATTAAACTACTCACCCATGATCCACTCTGTTTGTGTGGTATAGTTCAAACCAAACAGGTTAACCAGGTGTCCAAGCTCCTGCCAAAGTCCCACATATTGTTTATACAGGCCCAAACCAGAGATAGTCCAGCTTTATTTCTTAAGCAAAACAGTCCTTTACCTGAAAATGCAAGCTATTTAAAAAAAGTGTCTGAGGTTCTTCTGCAGAGAGGCCCCAGCAGTCCAAAGTTATCACACCTGCATATTCCTGATTAAAAATGCATTGATCAATGATTCCATGATGGTTTTAGATGGTAAATTATGCCTCTTCTCACCCCTCCTCCTGTGACACCCTCACTCCTGTCCTGTGCTGTGTATGGCAGTGACTGTCACACATTGTATTGTGTGATTGTGTGTGCTGGTGGGTTTTTTTGCTCCTTCAAATGGACACACACTCCACTGTCCCTCTTCAGAGCTCAGCCCTCCCTGGGTCCTAATCACCACCAGTTTAAGGAGGACATTAAACCTCATGCAGCTAACTCTGTCCTTTTGCACAAGCTGTTGTTGTAGTTCAAAAATAAAATGCACTATAAACACGTGCATTATTTTATTTACGCAATGTGTTTAATTCTGTTTATTCGACGTATTTTACATATGCACTGTAGTGGTTACTGATTTCTTTTTAAACTCTGTTACACATTTCCCATCCTTTTCTGTATTCATGAGCACAAAAAATAGCCAATGACGAAATAAAAGCACATCACATGAATGCTTTCCCTGTTAAATATGCCCTAGGTCAACTAAATTAAAGCAATATGTCTGAATGATGTGGCCTATGCCTTCAGCTAAATGTGTTAAAAACCTGACACCATTCACATTACTTTCTTAAAATCAAATGAGTCTGAGCAATCTGACCTTTTTTTTTTAATTTTATTTTTTTTGCAAGGATCTTGCATAATTAGGGGAAATGCTCTTCCTATGTTTTTTTTTTGTTTTTTTTTTTAATTTCTCAGTAAAATTTAAAATCACAGATAGAATACATGATCCATTTTCTATGGGAGATGTTTGGACAGCCTCATGTTTCATTATTTTAAGAGCCACTTCTGGTCAGAAGATATCTAGTAAATGTAAATGCAAATACAGAGACCTGTTTCAGGATTCACAAACAAATCTCTATTAAAATCAGCTTAGTCTGCGTATTTACTTAAACGTAAATTGTTGACCTTAAGTTTCCAGAGACCAGCATTTGTCTGTTCTCAATTTAATGCAACAGGAGAACACATTTTGAGCCTGTACAGCATTTATTTGAATCACTGAGGCTATCTATTGGATCTAATGTTCTACATAGAACCTATTGAACCTGTTTTCTACTTGTTGTGTCTTATTGTCAGGTAAGTCTATTATAAATTTAGCAAACACATAAAAAAACAAAAAAAAACCCAAAGGTGAACAATGTCTGACTTGCGTCTGGAAAAGACCCAAATAAGCAAGTATGCAACAATAAGTCTTCAAAAGCGAAAAGGAAAGACATTACAACAAGATGCAGGGGAAATTTAGTTTATTTACTAACCACGGGTTCAAGTAATGTCATAGTGCAAATATGCTGAGGCAGTTTTATTTCAAAGGGCCTTGCTCATTACTGACACCACACGGTTGTATTTGAGATAAAGCTAGAAGGTCTACTGTGCAAGACAAAGCTATTCATGACACATATTGTTTTACAGTCAGTTTTTCTCAAGAGCTCAAGTAAACACAAAATTTGTAACCATTCTTGAACATTAGCAACAACTTGCACTTAATACTTCTGTTGTCATGTATGTGCATAGTATATAGGTTTTGCTTTTGCCATATATTAATATTATTTGAAAAGGTTTGTGTAACTGTAAAGGCATGCGGCAATCCTCTCTAAACATCCACAATATCTTCTTCCTGAGGGATAGAACTCTTTTCCAAAAAAAATAAAATAAAACAAACCCACTGGGATTTAAGTAATGTTCAAAAAGCAGGCTACTAAAACTAGAAGTGAGATACCAAATAGAACACAAGGTGCAGTAGGCAATTTAAAATCAAAAGTGTGCAAATAAAATGCTGTTTATCAGACATTTAGAAACCAGTTGCAGTTGCTAGTGCAAACTACCATTTTTTCATGGTAAAGGAAATAGCAAGTATAGTTTGTTAGTATGTGCAAAAGAAGAAGTGCAGTCTATCACAAATGTAAGAAGCATAAGGCACGTAAAAGAATTAGTCATTTATGCATGATTGTAGAAACATCTACACAATCATTGTAATAGTAAAGACAGTAGCCATTTTAGATAAGAAAACAGCATATCCAAGCGTAGTAGGAAGCCCATCACAAAGAGGCAACGAGGAACTTCTCATTTTTAAAGGACCTGCTTCGTTCTTTGATTTGAATGATCAATACATGAGCAGCTCCAGCAGGTAGCGGATGCGACACTGGCTCTCTTTGTAGATGAGATATTCGCTGTTGCCGAAGTAGCTGTCTGAAAACTGGGCCTGATTTATGGGCTTACCCTGTGGTACAGCAACTTTCTTTCCATCCAGGGTGATGAAGATGTCCTTGGAGGGATCTGAACCACAGAAATGAACCACATTAACACATAAAGTGTGCACAGGTTGGCTCTCAAATGCTTTTGTCAGTTATCAGTACTGGGGAAACTGGTAATAAGAGAAGCCAAGTAGAAACTTATTGAATAACTAATATGATCTTGAACGTGAACTGCAGGTCTTTTTTTGTGTATTTTCTCATGAGTTACCGTTGCAACTTCAAACTGCCAGAGATTTTTAGAGACAAGAGATGTGTGTTTAAAACATTCTACTGACAGTGAACTAGAGATTAGAGAGAAAAATATAACCATATTAATAAACTTATTCATTTACAAAGTGTTGTACCTGGTTCCACACTGCCTCGTGCCACCACACTGTCACAGCCTGCAGGAGCCTTCTTCAGGGAACTGTTGTCTTTGGTAATGGTATGCTCTTTGCCGAGGGCTACCTCATTCAGAAACATCACTCCAGTATTTTTACAACAGCTCACTAAAAATGCATTACAAAAAAAGTGTGATTCAAACACAGTATTATGATTATGACTGCAATAAATATCTGTATTATAGAAATATTTTTGTTCCTATCCCAAAAGCCTTACCGTAACCTGCAGACTTGCTGTTTTCCGATGCAAAATAGATTCCGCGACCAACGCGGCCTCCTGAATGGGGCATTATCCTCAGACCACTCTTCAGGATAGCTGCCACCACCGCTATGTTTGTACCGTGCCACAGCAGACGGCGGTTTTCCAGATCGTCATTCTCGTTAAAGCGCGCTCCCTGCAACATGCAACATGTGTGTTAAGGCACAGGACTCTGGTCTCCTGTGTTAAATGCATCAAAAGCGCCTGTCTACCTCTGTTTCTCGATCAACTTCCCAAACGTTGACAATTTTTGGTTTGCGATAGTCACCTGCAGTCGCTTTCAGGTATTTTTCAATGATCTTTAAATGTAAAAAAAAAAAACAAAAAGAAGAAAAAATAAATAAATGACACAACAAATAGTGCTACAGAAAATAAATATGCATGGGATTATTGGGATATTTTGTATTCACCTTATCGCTGAAGACACAGTACCTTGAATGTTTCTGAACTCTTGTCCATTAGAGTGAGCCTGCATTTGAGAGAATTGTAGTCTTGGTCGATACGATGAGGAACTGTCTCTACCATCTCCTCCTGAGCCTTCTCAGTCTCTGACTTCAGAGTTTGGGCAAGCTCAATGTCGGCCAGCACCTGTATACAACATATGAAAAGGAAAGCGCATTTAGGACTGAGAAAACATCACAGAGGGACAGTTTATTCCAACATATGTAAGCTAAAATCTTACCATAAGCATCTCTTTTTTCTTTTCGATAATCTCATTGTTGTCAATGGTTGGCGGTCTTTGCCTGCCAAAGTTGTGCGGGACTGTGGTGAAGAACTTTGAGGAAAGTTCTTCTAGACGCTGTCTTCCGCGTTTTTGGCTCATCGCTGCTTCAAGCTCCTCCAAAACTTCAAAGCCCTTTGCAATCTGCACCTTACTGAGCTTGCCCAAAGGCATCTTTTTGATGTCTGTACAGTCAGCAAACACAAAAAAGCATAAATCCCATCTAGATGAGTATTGTATGTTTTTGCTCAGAAAAGACATCTTGAACAGTGTATTTAGTCTATTTTAAGGTGCAAACTCTTTTCAGCTACTTCTAAATGACAGAAAAAACATGACAAACAATCATCATACACGCTCAAATGCTGAGATAAGAAGATGTATAAACACAGACTTCACCCTTTGCTTGTAGTAACAGTTAATCATTCACATGTCACACTCTGCACTCTCATCTCCCTAGTTTCCTAAAACTCTAAGCAATACTGAAAGTTGAGGAAAACAGACAAAAGCTCAGAGACTATTTTTAAACCTGCACCCAGTTGAATTTAGAACAACTCTATCCAAACGGGCAGGTTGTAGAACTGGTATTTTATGCACACTGAACTTTGAAAACTACATGAACCTGTTTGCATAAAAGGTTGGTTCACTGAGACACACCCACCTAAGTTCATACATTCCATGGCCTCTTTAAACATGTCATTGCTGAAAATTAGAGTGATGAGGTCCTGTGTAGCTTCATTAAGGGTGCAAGGCAGGACATTTTTCGAAACTTTGACCGCCTTCCCATCGACAGTGTCCACCTGCAATGCCAAAGCATAAGAGATTTTGCAGAAGTTTAAACTAAATACCAAAGGCATAAACTATTTCTATTACTATTTCTACAATGACGTGCCTGGCAGATGATGGTAACTACTGGTTTACAATGAGCTTGGCTTTCATATCCACACTCCTTGTTCCAATAAGATGCACATTCACATTACCGTGACCTCAGCGTCCTCCTCTCCGTCCACCTCTATCAAGGTGTACTTCCCCGCGTGAGACACAAAATCCATCCGGTCGCTCCAGTTGTTCTTTGTCTTGTCCTTAAACTTTTTCTCAAAGTCCTTGACAGCATTCTCAACCTTATCGAAGGGGTTAAGTTTGTTTTGTCCCGCTTCCCCCTTAAATTAGATTAGAGAGGGCCAATTTGGTTAATGCAACAAAAGGAATCCCATCAACACGAGCTGCATAAGCTGCCAAAAGAGCATTACAATAATATAATAAGCATTATAATTTTAAAGGTACTGTTCATTAAAAACAATCAACGTGTATTTTAGGAAATCCTCAACACATGATCAGCACACTTAACATACTGCATGCAATAGGAATTTGCAGTCAATAACAATCAATTAAGGATTAAGTCATGTGGATGTAACTCCTAATATTTGACACTTTTACAAATAAATGAAAAAAAATAAATAAATAGAGAAATCTGTTGTTGGATAAACTTACCACTCGGCCCCATCTGTTCCAGGAATAGTACTTGTTGCCTGCTTTAATGATTTGGACGACATAAAACTTATTATTATTATGTCCAACGTTTGTCTGATTGAGCATGCAGTCATAGTCCTCATATACCTGGTGGAGACAGAACACAACATTTATCAAAACTCGTTTTTCGCTCTGTGTATTAAGTAATCTATATACAGTAGTGTACAGTTTCCTACCTCTCCAGAGGATGACAGAGGACAGTGCTCATCCACCTTCCTCTTGCCTTTCACTTGTGGCCCTGCAGCCAGAAGGGCCTCCTTAGCAGAGGTGAAGGCATCTTTGGGCTTGGGTGCCGCCTCCTGTTTCACCTTCTTTCCTCCTGCCTTAGCAGCAGCTGCAGCTCGTCTCTTGGGTGGCATGTTGCTGAATGAGAGCCCTGCTGCACACAAACTTAAGTCATGTTGGTTGTCTGGGCAAGTTCAGGCATGCCTGCACCGGTCAGACAGCCCCCCCTCCCTCCGGCTGTTCACCCCACAACAAATGGATGAATTCCCCACTAATGTACTAACTGGGAGTAATTCCAAGCCAGCTTCCGCGTTACGTAAGAGGATAAACGCCATATTACAACAGCAGTTTTGTTGTTTTGGAGCAAAGCGAGAAAGAAGCCTCCGTCCTCCCCTGTTTTATCCCGAAGACGACCTGGATGTCCAACAGATAAGAACTTACCTTTTAACGGGAAAACAAAACGATGTTAGCAGGAGACGTGGAGTCAGGGCGTCTTCGTTACTCGAGCAGAGGACCGACTGCAGCAGGCTGACTGTGGATTTTTATTTAGTTAGTTTCAGTTTACAACAAGGAAGAGGAGGAGCTCAGCTGTCTTTCCTGCTGCTGGAGTCCATGGAAACGCAGTGCTAGCTCACAGCTATACCGCCACCTAGCTAGCTTGCCGGTAGGTGACTTTTTGACTTCCACAAGTGAAATAACAAGAGTTAGACAATGTTAAACCGACCATTAAAATAGCTTAACTAATTTCTTGTGTGTATGGTTTACATTACAGTACATATATTTTTAAACAGGGTTAGGGACATTTTTTCCTAATCCCACTGCTCCTCCGGCTACTTCCTAAAACAGAGGTGCATTTATTTACTGTCTACGTCCATTGACAAGAGGTTGTTATTAAAATAGCCAACACTGAGGTCAAAATTAGCCACAGTTGTTGTTAAAACCAATAATTTTTATTTGATAAACCTTTCAGACCATTGGTAATGTTACAGTTTCACCTAAAGGATGGGTATTTTTGAAATAACTTGCTAGCACATGTCCAACGTCAACAATGCTGAACTGTAATGTACGTTAGCCTTACATTTATTTTACTATTGTTTTGAAGTTAACAGTAGGAAATTTAAGATTGAGGCATCCACTGGGAAAAATGAAACAACTTCATGTTCAGTCGCCCTCAAATGTATTCATACCCTCCCATTAAAGAAAAGGCAAAATTCACAATAGTCACTCAAATAACTAGAAATTGAAAAAGTAATAATAAATTAAAATTTGCTAAATTATAATTTATTCAAATAAGACATTGCTTTGAATTGTCGTTGAAAAGAATAATTAAAGCAAACAAACAAAAAAGTCCCGGACAAATTAGAGCACTTTGCTGATGAGCATTAAGCCAAAATCAAAACACCTGTCAACAGGTGCAGAAGTCTGATTGGGAGTTACAGAAAACACTGGATTGCAGTGATTGGCTGAAAGGGTTGTTCAACAAAATATTAGTTTAAGGGTCCCATCATGCTTGTTTTTGTTGTTGTTGTTGTTATTTATTTATTTATTTTTATATTTCTGTTAAACCCCAATTCAAAAGCGATGTCATGATTTTCATTACATTTTTTTAAATTATCACTTTTGTCAGTTTCAGCTTATTTCGGTGACAGCTGATTTTTTCCCCCTTTTTTAATGGGAGGGTATGAATACATATGAGGACGACTGTATCTTCATTTTATAAAACAATTATGTCAGCCACCTATAAAAACAATTTGTCTTGAAGATTCAAGATTGTTTATATACGGTGTTTACTACAGTTTGCTGTTGTGTAATGTAGGTTGAACTTTTTATTGAATGAACAACAAAAGTTTCAAAGGCCAACTGTGGTAGTATGGTAAGTATAAAACCAAGCTCTTAATGTGGTGTCGCTTTATTCATATTGAACTTAATGAACAGCATTTTACTGTAAAATTCACAAAAACATGAGAGACGACCTCTCAGTAGTGTGATGTACAGGAGAATAAATGCACAGCTAGTTTCACATGTGTGTCTACTTTGTGAGTCTAAAGTGTACTTTTAGCCATTTAAATAAAACAGTCAAGTCAGTATTTAATATTATTTCTACACATGTTAGACAGTGGGATCATAGCTGGTGGTCTTCTGTGTTCAATTTGTCCTCCTGTTTAGGACATTTTAATCAGAAGCACAGGTTTGTCTGAACAGTTGCCATAATCCACATTAACAACCTCTTGTATATATTGCATTTAACAGATTTACTGTATTTGACTTTATTGGCTTCGCGCTGAATCTTTGGAAACAAGGACTATATGAAACGTTATTGTTAAAAAATTTGCTACGAGTCAAAGAACAGAATGAAATAATTGACACATGATACACCAATTAGTCTGATAAGGGCGACTCTCAATCCTTGAATTTACCAGGACTGCTGCCATCAACTGAGTTATATCCTGTTTATACTGTAAAATTAATTAGCTTCTCATAATTGTTTCTATGTCAGTATGTAATTAGTTTGATTTTGTGGGGTCTCTCTTTAACCTTTATACACAATTTGACAGTCTTGTTCTTTCAGTGACAGCAAGGAGTTATTGGAGCACATTGCACCTGGTTCATATAAAAACAGTAATGATGGCCAAGAAGCAGATCTAATGAAGTAAGACAGAGCTACACTTATTTGTCCACTTCCTCCATATGCAAATACCCTATTTACGGAAAGCCCCAAGGCTGCCTACATATGTTGCTCATATAAAGATTGAATAATGTGGACACAAGATGGCAGTGTTAAATCACGAATACTGGATGGGTCCATTTTCCAAGGCATCAGCTTCAGTTATTCAGGGCCACTGACTGCTGTGTGTATTCCTAAGGCAGCCTTGGTGGATTTTATCCCATATCAGCAGATGATATTTGTGCTGGTAATTTTCATTTTAGAGACTGTTTGGTCTCGGCAGATGGTGTAGATTTAAGCTGTTAAATATTGGGCAGCACATATTTCAGACCCCAACTGGGTCCAGATTCAATCTGCACTAACATTATCATATATTTTGAAGCCATGAAACTTGAATTCTGTGTATGTTTTTTGCAGGGTTGGCGGTTTGATCCTCAGTTCCCTCTGTTCACATGTTGAAGTGTCCTTGAGCAAGACACTGAACCCAAAATTGTTCTGGCTTGTACTTTCCATTGTGTGAAAAGGTGAATAAGAGAAGAAAAAAATGCGTGTGTAAACTGATTTGTCTTATAAGGCTGAAAACACTATATATGTGCAGCTATTTTAGTATCTTATAGATATTTAGCTGCAGCAGACAAGGGTGAAATTGCACGTGACAGTGCAGTATGACACATTTAAAAGATTTGTGTAGTTTCTCATGGTGATGCGCTAAGAAACAGACTTAAAGCCATTTTGGTATTAATAAAAAACACATTTTATTTACATAAATTACAAGAAAGCACAAACTGGTTCACCAGAATCTACATTAAAAACGTCTTGTATATATTACATTTAACAGATTTACTATAATTTACTCCATTGTTGCAAGTAGAATCTTCAAAAACAAGGGCTATATGCGACTTTATTGGCATCTCATTTAAAATTGCTACGAGTCAAAGAACAAAATGAAATAATTGGGACATTGTACTCACAGCACTTTGAGGACAACAAAGTCAGGACGATCATCTGTGTGACCTCTTGATATCTGAGACACCTGATTCAGGACTAGTGATTATATAACTCTGTTTACAATGCTTGGCAAACGAACTCAGCTGTTCTTCACAAGGAGGATGTTGTGGAGTCCACCACCTCTCGTCCATTACACACTGTTGGAACAACATTGGAGGCTGATGCTGCAAAAACATTTTTAAAAAAAAACAAACAAAACAAAACAACAAAATTACTTTGTGTAACACAGACAATACAAAGACAATACTCCACATATGCCAAATGCCCCTGCTGTTTCTTTTCAACTAAGTTATTGTACGGTGAATAACCTGTTGGACCATGTGCTTCCACATGACTTAGCAGCTTGATAATCAAGTAATGAATAATGTGAACGTAAATGAAATCTGGTATTTTCCAGTTATGTGAGAACATGTTAATATCACATTTGACATTAATTATCTCATAACAGCAGTCTCCCAATCACACATTGTTTTGTCGGATTTATAGAATGACAGAGCGTTTTTTGAATTTATATTTTTTATATGTGGAAATGTATTAAATGAGCAAAATGTTAAGCATATTTGGTTTGGTCGTTCTGCACCTGTATGTTTTTTTTATTGTTTTTTTTTTTTTTTAAAGTAAAGAGATACAATGTTTAGTGTTAGAGGTGTGACAGAGAAGTAGCCTCATATAGTGATGAAATTAGAACAAATAGTAATGTTTTTTGGTACTGAGATAAGCAATAACTACAACACTGTACAGTACATCAGGTGGTACCTTGAGAAAAACTAGAGCCTGGACCAGTGGTGACGCTGAAGCGGGTGGTGGCCACCCTGAGGGTGCTGACATTCTTCTGAGGCTGGAACAGGATGATGTGGATCTTCGGAGCAAAGAGACAGCCCAGCACCACCGACCCGCTGAGACTGACAGAGATGCACATGGTGGTGGTCTGCACCTGAAGGAGTAGAAAGGTGAGAAATTCACTCTCAAGAGCCAAAACTGTTGCTTGATAATGAGTGCCTCAAGCTTTTGCATCCACTGTGCATCATATAGATGCTAAGACATTCAGTGATAAAAAACTACATAACAGAAAAGTGAAATTACATTTCTTGACAAAAGCAACAGTCTTAATTTCACACCAGTGGCATGATAATGGTTAAATGAGCTCTTTATACACAGAATCATATAAGCTCTGACATAGCTTTTTTGTTGCTCAGGAATATTCATTTTAGGAAGAAAGGGGCCCAGGAGTCAGAAATGAAATGATAAGCACCTCTTTCATAATTTGAAATCAAAGCCAGGTGCAACAGAGGAGGACTGGGGATGCTATCAGCTGGGACTGCTAACTAGATGTGTTAAGCGACCTGTTTATTTGCCTGTCAATCAATTGTTTAACCCTCGCTCCTTTTTTTCCTCACCCTGCCCACATCTTGCTGTGTGTCATCAGCTATCTCCTGCATTTCTAACCCTTTTGCAGGCTTCTTTTTGTTTCGCTGGATAAAGAGGATACAGCTCAGCATTCTGTGGTGTGTGGCAGGTGCATTTCTTTTTTCACAAGACACAGCAGGTGTCTGTCATCGCCCTGAATGTTAATGTGGGTATTAAAATAATGTGGGCACAGAGTTTTGTGCCATGCACTTACTGCTCTACAACACAGATAACAAAGATAACACAAATAAACAGCAACTATAGTTAAGGCAGGAATGTAACGGCCACAAAGTCAGTTTAACGAATTTTTATTTTTATAAGTAAGTGTTTAATTATCTTACTTTTTTTTTATTTTTTTTTTTTACCATAATCAGTTTCTTACTCTCCTATGTCCTTTTCAGACATTGCTAACATTGCTGTCTTGATGTATCTGTTAAAGGGACGGTATTTTCTCATTCAGACACTGGTGACT